TAGCATGGTTTAGTGCTCTCGGCCTCAAGGTGGGTTTGTTCTGCTCTACCGAATACCACATGACAAATGGTTCATGAAAGATGACAATTAACGGTAAGAAAACCACGTACTACAAGATCGATTCGCGGATTAGCAAGGTCATCGATTTGTGGGCCAACCCGAATTTGAAAGCAAGTAGAAAACAACACGACCCATGGTGTCGGTTGACCCACGGTGAGAAACGATCATTTCTGATGGTGAGGATAAAAAAACTCTGTATAACTCATAAATTCTAGAATCTCCGCGTACTCATAACTTTCGTGCAACGGGCGATTCTATGAAGTGACCGAGTCTTTCGTTTCCAGATTGCATTCCTTTGCCCCACTTTGAGCGACGACATTCTTCAATTTCCTCTGGTCACCTTCGATTCTCCCTGCTGGAGTGTATTGCTCATCAGTAGGTTATTCACACAACATCAAACTGAGTGACAGAGACGTTCAGATACGGACAGACAAAGATTGGGCCAGAAGGGGGACTGACTGGTAATTTCAACAATTCTCCCTGATATCAGTTCGTACATTGGGTCACAATAGGAAAGTGATCATAATCCAAAGCGAAGCTTTGAAGCTAAAGTCGACATCTTACAGTATGATGGTTTCTCAGGTCACCTGCTTCGGATGAAGTCGAGATTTCGTCATTTGAACCAAGTATCTGAATTGGTTCCCCACCTCTAAAGCCTACGTTGGTGTTGATTTAAAAGCATATGCTAAGAACTGGTGAATCATGGAATTGTTTCCAACTGTGGTAGCTTCACGTAACATCACAAGTGATAACGACTCTTCTACAGGTTACCAGGAAAACGAACGCATCTAGTTCCGGTTCCGACCAACTGCCCAAACTGTAGAGTTCTAAGAGGTGATTGGAAAACGCAGCGGTTGCCAACAAGTATTGTGTAAGTAGACGTACCAAGTAATTCTGTGCGCACTTTGCTGAAGGAAACTTCACCGAATATGTAATATATGCTTTAATCGGCACATGGGTTGCGTTCACTGGCAAAAAATCGGTGGCCGGGGCGTTCAGGCAAAACCAACATCAGTAGAATGCAGTTGAGTACATGAAGGGCTTGGGGCGTCATGGTAGGCAAGCATCACAGGATACAAGGTGTAGACGGCGAAAAATCATATAACAGACTGGAAACATTCACTGAGGGCATCCGTAAAGACCGTTTCATCTCTGCTGCGTTCAGAAAACCCAGGCGGTGCAGAAATGAGTTGGAAATAAGGCCATGACCAACGAATGTCCCATTCATATTAAGTCAGCTATCTGGGTTGCGTGCCATTCAGGCGAAGTAGCTTTTGTGATTTGCTAGTGAGAATAGATTAAGGGCAATAATTCTTCCACACCGGAAGGGATACCGCGGCCGCCACGAATCTCCACAAACTCAGTACCAAAGCCCGTGATAACACCTGTCCGGATGTATGCACACCAACATTGGGCCCAAATATGCATCTAACAGCGCCATCCCGAAAGGAGTATATCCTGAACTGAAGAAAGCCCTCTTAAACAAAGCTACCGCAGTTAAAGCGTCAGTATTGAGAGACTGTCTGTCCCACAGTGTCAGCTGTCTTATGCCATCGGCGGATGGAAGGTCATCATAGCAGCTTTTACAGTTGAAGCCTGTTAAACTGAGGAATTTCCGTCCTATCTGATGCACTTCAGTTTTATCGAGAATGAATTGGTGGCTAGTCCTTGGGATTGGAAGGCCCTCGCATGTAGTTTTGAGTGGTGCAGCTCCATCTGCATCAAAGGAGCGGTGATCTACCATGGATGATCCGGTTCTGAAAGCTTTACACGTCCAAACAAAATGAGTCCGGATCTGCGATGCGGACTTTAGCACTACCTTCCAGCCAATGGATTGAGAACCCTTGCTACACAAACTTTCATAAAAGCGACATAGAAAGACTTCTCCTGTCCGTTTTAATCCTTCCCGATCGAAAGCAGTACGTTTGAACTGGCTGGAGCGTTTGATGACGAGCGTGGTGTGATCCAGGGCGTTTTGGAATTTTCATGAAATATGCGGACGACAAAGCAAGTGGCAAAGCGCGTTCTCACCAGTGCATGCCTATGGATGCAGGGTGTCGCATAAAAGCCGGACCTATTCAACTAGACGGAGACTGTTTTCACACCGGGACGCGTAGACATCACATCTTGCAGCCCCAAATAGCTATCGATCAGAGCTCACCACCGCAAGTCAAGAATAAAATCACCTTGATGTTGATTCCCTCTAAATTTAGAAGCCAGAAGTTGGCAAAATCGTCCTAAAAACTTAGTAGATCGCGTAATCGTAAGTTTTACAAATTTCGTCGACTAACCGGTTAGATCTTTTTCACCCACCGCTTTTTTGGCTTGCTGGAATATGATTGCTCACTGAAAGATGTAAACTTTTGTACAAACGACCCTTGGTGACGCCTCCAGCCTGTCACATTCAGATACGAATAGCCGCCTCAGGCAAGGCTCTTTGCACAGCAAAAACAAGCAAAAACTATGCAGATCCCCACGCTGTTCCCGCCGCTTCACAAGAATCTTCCAGGGCCAGGATGTTAGAATTGATGTGTACATTTCCCGTTACAAGTAATGGAGTGTTCAGTAGACTTGCTTTTTCTCAGGTTGCCCTGATTTTTCAGTTTTGCACTCCTCCAGGAATCAATATTTTCGGAAAGCATTGCGAATGCAAGAGAAACTCCCCTAATCCTTACAGTGACCACGACTTACTGCAATCCCAAACTGTAAGGATCAAAACTGATGTACAATAAGCTAGGTCTCACGTTTGCCATATAGGGTAGTCATGTTTGCAATGGATGCTTAAAATGACATCTCGTGCGAAAAAGGATGACAAATAGCCTCAGTTCATAAGCAATTTGCTAAGATGGATGAGTCTGCACCAGGCATCATTCAAAGCGTATTCCTGTTGTCCATCTGTGACCCGAAATCCAAGGATGTGCTTGGATTCGCTGGTTAACGTTATCAACTACTGTCACCAGTACGTAGCTATCCGCCCGAAACACTCAGTTATAGACACTGTACAACAGTACGCGATACACTGCCAAAACAGCATCCAGGTCACAGCCGGTTTCGTACGCATCGCTGATGAGCTCATGTTCAGGCAACCATCCGACAGCTAAGTTACGGACATTCAGTACCTAAAGCGTAACTTGATGTGATGTGAGGTTAAACACAAAGCAGGATGTGATTAGTCCTGGAAAGCGACTCAATACACACTTCATCCTAGATGGGACTAATGCGGTGGATCTGACAGTCAGTCGATCAACAGATCTCACCATTTAAAGCAGCAGCAGAAGGAATTGGGCCACTAATTCCGCTCCCGCGTAAGGCAAATATGAATCAAAGTGATTCCTCAGTTTAGCCCATTCGTTAACATTTGTTAGCAAACAATCAACTGAGAACGACCAACTGTTATTCCCGACTAGTTCACGGTCCTCGTGGACAAGCTTATAAGTACCAAGCTTACGGGAGGCAGACCTGATGCTGTTCGTTAAACAGCCGAGTGTGGACAGTGCTGAAAATCAATTCAAATGCGCTGCTAATTACTAGATTTACTTCGCACTTTTGATCATCTATGTTGGGAAACCGCACAGGGACCTCAAAGTGCTGTATTTCTTTAAAAAAACACGATTTCCTTAGCACACAAACAAAGAATACTTCCTTCGATGCGAACAAAATTGTTTGTGTTGCATTTCCTGTACTCCTTTCAGCTGAGCACATAATACCGGAATACAAAGCACCCGGTAGGTCCATATGTTGTTGGCATGGATGTTTCGACAGGGATGTTCCATATGCCAATGACTCCTAGGCGAAGGCGCGATGTGGATGAGTACTTCTCAGAAAAAGGCATTGCGGCAGCAGTTGCATTTCAACCAGCTAACAAGCTGAGGACACTTCTATAGCGAAGACTACAGATGTTCAACGTGATCTAACAGCGTTGGCAAAGGATTGGACAATTAAGCAGCAAAGGCTTGATAGCTAGTTGAAAAAGCGACAACAAAACACGTGACTCGGAAGAAAGTGCCTTTCTGTCGGGACACTGGATGTATTAGCTGATGTATCAGTTTTCCAGAGCAACCAAACCCCGACACCATGGCTATAGTTACCTGTCAAGAGTGATCCTTCAAGAGGATGAGTACTGCATTAATGCATACAATCAGCAGGCATTGTTTTTCGGATCTGCCTGAAGTAGCCGATTGATCACCGTGCACAATAAGCATTGAGCAGCGTGGACAGTTAACTGAGCAACTTGCACCTGTAAACCAGAGGACAGATCTGAGGGCGAACACACTATATATATATATATATATATA